TAAGCCCCCAAAATCGATAAGTCGAAATCGAAAAAATCGAAACCTTATTGAAACGATAACGATAAGCATATGAACAAATCGATAATCGATAAGTAATTATCGATAAAGGTCAAAATCGAATCGATAAATCGAATGCACACCCCTATTTCATGGCGACAAGTTTTTCGGTTTCTCTGTGTCTCATCACAGTTGCTACCCCAAATTTCTGGCTATACCAAGCCTTTATTTTGTCATGCTTTTGCATCTTATAATGTTAGGTAAAAGAATTCTAGACTAATGCGGATACCCCTTATTAGGATCAGAATTTTTAATGATATAAAAGTTCTTAGTTGATTTCTATTTCTAAATAATAGGGTTCTTTAAATAAAATTTTAATAAGTAAATTTTTAATTGATTTCAAACTCTTAAATATTAGGGTATATAACTAAATGCCTATTTTGTCTAGTATGAAATTAAATTCTTAAGGGTAAAAAAAGCGAACAACATTTCACTACGGGTATTCGTACTTTTTAATATAGTATAGATAGATAGATTGTAACGACCCGGCCGGTCGTTTCGAGAGTTATAGCCTCGTTCCCTCATTTTCTACTTCTTTTGTGTTCTACAGCTGTTATAAGTCTTATCGGGTTAGTTGGTTCGGGTCCGGAGTGATTTCGGAGTGAATTGAGACACTTAATCTCTTAATTGAAAGTTTAAGTTGGAAAAGTTGACCGGATGTCGACTTATATGCAAACGACCTCGAATTTAAATTTGATAGTTCTGTTAGCTCCGTTAGGTGATTTAGGATTTAGAAGCGCGTCCGGATTGTGATTTGGAGGTCCCTAGTAGAATTGGGCTTGAATTGGCGAAAGTTGGAATTTTGAAAAGTTTGTCCGGGAGTGGACTTTTTGATATTGGGGTCGGATTGGATTTTCGGAAGTTGGAGTAGATTTATGGCGTCATTTATGACTTGCGTGCAAAATTTGAGGTCAATCGGACGTGATTTGATAGGTTTCGGCGTCATTGGTAGAATTTGGAAGTTTCAAGGTTCATTAGGTTTGAATCCGTGTGTAATTCATATTTTTGAGGTGATTTGAGGATTCAACTAAGTTCGTATCATGATTTAGGACTTGTTGATATATTTGGTTGAGGTCGCAGGGGCCTTCTAGTTTATTTTGGGTGGCTAACGGACTTAGAGTTTGATTTGAGAAGTAGTTGAAGTTTGTTGCTACTGGTGCAATCGCACCTGCGGAGTGGGAACCGCAGGTGCGAGCCTGCAGAAGCGGCGGATGAATCACATAAGCGACCAAGGGAGAAGTTAGCAGTGGTCGCAGGTGCGAAGACTATCCCGCACATGTGATGGTCGCAGAAGCGGGCTGGAGGGCGCATAAGTGGGTTGGATGCGCAGGTGCGATGGATTTCCCGCACCTGCGATATGCGCAGATGCGGTCCAGTGATCGCATAAGCGGAGGCAGCTGGATAAGTGGCTTCCGCAGAAGCGAGAATTTAACCGCAGAAGCGGTTCCGCAGGTGCGAAAAGCCTGGGCAGAATGTTTAAAAACAAGGGTTCGCAATTTTAGTCTCATTTTAACATTTTGGACTCGGACTTAGATGATTTTAGAGAGGATTTTCGAGGGGATTATTGAGGTAATCTTCTTCTACTCAATTTTTTTTAATCATAAATCTTGTTTCCCCATTGTTTTTTCCACCTAGATTATGTGGTGTTGAAGTGAAATTTGGGGATTTGAGGCTAGTGAATTGGAGAATGAATTTTGGGGATTTGGATGACCATTTGATATCGAATTTTGGTAAATTTGGTATGGTTAGACTCGTGACTGAATGGGCTTTCAGGTTTTGTGACTTTTGTCGGATTTAGAGACATGGGTCGGGGGCCGGGTTTGAGCCGATTTCGGATTTTGGGCTATAAATTAGTAGTTTTCTCGTGGAATTGATCCCTTTAGCCTATATTAATTGTATTGTACTGCTTCTGGCTAGATTCGGGATGTTTGGAGACCGATTTGAGAGGCAAAGGCATTACGGAGTAGAGTTTTGCCCGGATTGAGGTAACACTTTCAAACTTGGTTCTGAGGGTTCAAAACCTCGAATTATGTGTTATATGATTGGTATTGAGGTGACGCACATGCCAAGTGACGGGCGTGCGAGCGTGCACCGTGAGAATTGTGACCTGGTTGGTTCCATTATACTGTGTAGTGATAATATCTTGTTGATATTCGTATTTTTATCATGTGATAAAGTAATTGAGCTGTCAAGCATGCTAGATATCATGTTTAGGATTTATGCTGGTATTGTGGGACCCATAGTGATCGTTTCTTGCTGTCACTTTACTGCTTTTATTGATATTTCGCACTCAGTCATATACATTCATTTCATATCATATCTCAGTCTCAGTTGTTATTCATTGATTCATCATATTACTGTTTCGGGCTAGCCAATGATTATGCAAATGCATTAATATACGATAAACTACTCATATTAATCCAATTTATAACAATTCCTAACCCCGATCGAAAGGTTGACAAAAACGCCATCGGGCCCACGTGCCCGGATTCCGAAATTTTTTGAAGATTAAGCTTGCCCTTGACTCCATGAACTCAAATATATCATTTTCTCTTAATTCCATACCCAAAATCGTGGTCAAATTCCAAGAATATCAATTTTCTAGGTTTTCCCTCAAACTCTCAAGTTTTCTACAAATTTCCATGTCCAAATCCGTATATAATCATGTATTTAACTCAAAACTAACATAAATTACTTACCTCATGCTTGGTGGTGAAAATGGCACCTCAAAGTTGCTCCAAATCGGCTCCAATGGAAGAAAATGAGGTTGAAATGAACCCAACCCCCGATTTAAAAGAACCTCACTGCCTCCAGCATTTCCGCATCTGCGGTCAGGTGCGGTCCCGCATCTGCGAAAATGGGCCAGAGAGTTGGGACCGCAGATGCGGAAATGCTGGTGTCGTTCGTCTTTTTTACCCCTTTAAAAATTGATATCACATTGGACAAAATTGTAATTGTATATTAATTATTTTCCTAATATATAGGACTTTAAAATCAACTAAATTTTATTTATTAAATTCTTCCTTATTTGCACTATGTAAAAACTCCTAATATGCAGGAGTTTAAATTTGAGTAGGATTTTATTTTTATAAATCTTTTCCTTATTTAACTTGTGTAACTATTCACGATTCCAATTTCTTAACAAGTTAGAAATTCTAACAAAAGCTTTTCTTCAAAGTTTGTGTAAATACGAAGCAACTTATGTTGACACATTATTTTATATTTAGTTCAAATTTTTTAATCAAAACTATTTTAATTCTATTAAAGACGATATTAATATTATTTATATAATGAAAAATATAGTTTATAAATAATTTTTTATTATTGACGCAACAAACACGTGCAACGCACGTACACTAAAACTAGTGTAACTAAATTGACAAGCTATGTTAACTTTTCGTTCTCGTTCAATATATTTCTCTTTTGCTGCTTTATCATTACACACTGATTAGTTACATATAATATTTGGTTATCAGGTTATACGAGATGAGTATGAAGATAGCGAAAAGTAGCTCTTGTTGCATCCCATGAAGATCCCTATGGTGTGATGACATAGAATGAGCCAATTTTTATACATATAGCCGGTCAAATTTACTGTTTACTTTTTCTAGCCAAGTATACATAGATTATACAATAATTATACACGAGTATACATATATTATATATGGATTATACATATTTTTTATACATTCGCCAGCTGTTTTAAATCTAAGCGCTTGGGTAGGTGTCTATTTAAGTTAATTTTTCATTAACTTTCTCAAGCCGAAATCGTTCATTTTGTCGAACCAATAGAATCCCTCTGGTTGGGAAAATGACACTATATAACCGCTCTCAACATAATAGCTGAAAAAATTTATATTTTTGTACATATGTACATTTCTGTATGTTACATAAAAAAAGATATAAATTTTATATACTTTTACGGCTATCTGATGTGAATAATTTCTGACCTGCAAGCTAAAAGTGATTTTTTCCTTCCGGGTTCCACTGCTTGGCCCAATCGCTATGACATACTTAGACCCAATAGTCTAGGGCCTAAAGTGGGAGGAGAAAAGAATTTCTTCCTATTATTTTTTCTTTTTAAAAGAGCGTGAGAACTCAGGGATTCATTTTGTGCTTGTGAGAGATCTAAAATGTGAACCGCATAAAAAAATATACAAGGAAGACAAAGAAAAGATACCTGATGAGCAGGGGAAGCAACAACAGTACCAACTACTTGTTCTATTCTTTTGGTCTTTCGGATTTTCTTCCGAACATAAACAATTGGCTCCTTTGCTTGGTTGTTTGACATAGACATAACAATTAATTAAAAACTTGATGGTTCTCTGTTGCTAGTTCTATTTCTCTTTCAATTACTAGTAAAGCAAACAAATCTATCCCCAAAACAATGCAAGTTCTTTATAAATGGAAAAATGTTTCTTCTTCTTGACCTTTTTTGGCAGCTCAACAGTGAGAACTCATTAAAATTGAGATGTGAATGAATTAGTTACAATTAAATCACAACCGACAAGAATCCATAAATAAATAATGCAACTAACCATTATAAATAGGAGAAATCTGAAGTTTGCTTGTTTTAAATTCGCATAATCTCATATAAACCAATTGAACACGGCTGGGTTAAGTCAAAAATAGAAGTATCACGTTATTGGTTGGTGGAACAAATAGTTTGTTTTTTCCGAATGAAACAAATAAGTTAAAAAACTTCCTTTTTATCTTCTTAAAAATACAACTATACTTTGTGATAAATTTCAACTAATTTTACAAGTGAAAATGGCAGTTTACCCCTACAGAACAGAAATTATGACCAATAAGCTGTTACGCCGTAAAACTTAAAACTAAAGGGATACTATACTTTAGCCAGTAAAAAGGGAAATGGAAGAGGAAACCTAAATAACCAACAGCGGCTCCCTTTCTTGAGCACCTTGGTGCCGTAGAGAAAGAGATTATGGTTTTTTTATATTTTACTTTTTTTGGTCTCTCATCCGGCATTCGATACCCACTTTGAGGGTATAACATTCTCTACCAAAGGTATAGCTCGAATCCAAGACCTCTAGTTAAAGAGGAAGGAGCACTTACTACCACAACCTTTGGTGCTATTGTTTCTTTATCATTGTTACTACGTTTACAGTTTAATACACTTGAGCTTCTGGCATTCTTCATTTGGTACGTTGGTATGAACAGCTCTGACCATCTTAGATCTAATATATGGGTTCAAGGAGGTTACGTGGATGCACAATTCTCAAGCGCAATATCAAGTCCACAAGAATCCAACACATGCTAATTCGTCTCGCCAAATTTTCTAGAGAAAAACAAAAGGTGTATTCACATTATCCATGGCAAAGGCATTCAGAAAATCGCAAGAAGAGGCAGAGGTGTCGAGAAAACTTTGATAATGATGGCTAATTACAACTTATCCACATAGGAGCATGGAGCATGTATCAAAAGGACACTGCATAAACTATCAGACAATAGATGCACACTTCTGGTGTGAAACCGAGGGGAAGCCCATTTTATAATATCCATGTAAAAAATATTGCCAACAATCCCTGATTGCAACACAGCAATAAGGGCTTAACCATAACAGTTCCCAAGGCTGATCTGTAAGATGTGAAACCAGCAAATACAAGAAAGAATCGTCAGATTATTCAATTGCTTAGTCTAGAGGCACAAACAGACCAATGTTACAGAGGGCATAGGCAATTTACAATTACAAGAGTCAAGGCATCCAATTTCTTGACTAAAATCGGATATCAAATTCTTAATTTTGAATAAAACTCAATCCTACATATTTACAAACTATACTATAAGTACAATTAAATACATTTTCTTAAAGTTGAAATATTTTAAGACATGTTTGAGATGTTACATTCAGAGAAAAACTGTTTTGACTTCTCAAACTGTAATAATATAATAGTTCCTCACTAGTATATACACTTCTTTCTTTCAAACGTCATATGGGGCAGTAAATTACCGAATGCATGCCTATTTCATCATTTCTCAGATTGGGAACCAAGCATGCGGTATGAGGGATGGAATCTACAGCAAATGAAGAGTCGTTGGGATGGAATCTACAGCAAATGAAGAGTTGTAATAAAAAAGGATAGGCAAGTCCCCAAGGATCTAGTCACCCACCGATCACGCACACACACATAAGAGTTAGAAATCAATAGCGCTCACATAATTGTCTTGAGTCAGCTCTGGCTGTGTCGGATATTTTTTAGGTCAGCTCTTGTTGCTTGAATTAATGAGGTCCTCATTCGCCAGCAATATCTGTGGGTTCATCAATAACGATATCTTCCATAGAAACATTGTCCATATTGTCATTTTGATCATCTATATATGCCTGGGAGCTTACTACATCCCCCATCAAATTTTTATGCTTTAGATTGCCTGCCAAAATGAAGAAACGGATTAAAGTAATCAGTACATGTGAGGATGAAATTCAGATACAACTGTACTACACAAATTTAAGTCTGAAGCATCAAAAACTTCTACGAGAAGACAAAACTAGCTATCGATGCAGCAGATTTGTTAACAAACTTCCACATATATGTGGGGACACCAGAAGCATGAAACTTGATCATTATACTGTTCTAAATCTGAAAAAGGACCATCACACCCTCGGCTTAAAAAAGAAATTTCTCCTTGCATCGCAATTATTTTGGCATAGGTTCCAATGAATGTAACAGATGTCGCGACGGCGACCATGAACTTCACCGAATGGGTAAGTCTGTTAGTTCTCCCAGATTAGAAATTGATATCAGATCAAACAAATACGTGCATGTATTGAACATGGAAAGATTTTGGCCTTTACATCATTAAATAACTTTATTAGCACACAGAATAATATTATTATAAACCATCATTTGATCAACTATCTGATTACAGTAACATGCCAGCAAATACAAGGTAAAATTACCCATCCAAAAAGTGCATCCAGTTGACGTTGAGTGAAGAAGTTCCTTGACACGAAACAAGAACCGCTCCATAGATCTCTTGGTGATTGGGATTTTGCTGGTTATTGCTGTTTGTTTCATGCCCTGCCAGAAAGAAAAGAAAACACAAATGAAGGTGCAGAAAGATGTCTAGCCTCTAGGGCACAACGAATGAGCATAGACTGAAGCATAAGGGATTTGTCAAACCTTTGCTTCTGAACACAGCGTCTGTATAGTTCTCGTTGCCATCTGAAGCTCTCTAACCTAATAAATATAGAGACTCCTTAATCTAAAGTCAGGTTTTTAGCATGTATGATGATTCAAGCCAGTAATTCACTCATCTTACCATCTGAATTATTTGCTCACGCTGCAATTGAAATTGCCCCTGCAAGAAACCAAAAGCTGAAGACATTTGTTAATTCCAATACTTCATATTTTGTTACAACCACAAAGATGAGGCGGAAGAAATGACCCTCCCTTAACTGATAAAAAGAGGTCCTTGTACCCTGACCCATGATAGAGGTAAGTACCTTTGAGGAAAGAGTCAACAAACTTCCCACCGAACTTGACAGCAATTGCACGAACGTTGACCTATTAGTCAACACGTTTTATTGGTATAAGAAAGCTGAGTGGCAATTAAAATAAGAAATTTAAAGCAAGACAACTACCTTATCGTGAGTCTTGCACATGTTGACTAAAGACACAACCACATTAACAGATTGTTGTAGTTTCTTCAGAAGGCATTTGACATCTTCCACTTCAACTCCACCTCTGGCTTTCTCCAGCAGTGAAATTTCCTTAACCTAAGCAGGTAAAGAAGAACACAACAGTTATCTTTTTATCATGGAAGTTCCATCTGTTGACGTGTAGCTTCTAAATAGTATACAAGATTTAGGTACCCACCAAGCGGTTAATCATAGCAAGATTCTCTTCATGCTGCACCATTAAATCATCTTCAGTAAACATCTTGTTTTTATACGCATATAATTTCCACATGAATAACACACAAAGAATTGAGTGCATTGTGGAAATCTTACCATCACCCTGTACCAAATGCAAAATGTTGCAGGACATAGAGTAGGAAAACTACAGCCATCTTCCGCTGCAGATTTGCGTGATGAAACCTGACATATAAACAAAATACGATTAAATTGTGGGTTTGCCTAGTATCACACTCACAGACCACTAAGCATATTAAATGCCAATATTTTCACAATTACCATTCTCCAAAGTAAACAACTATAAAGTTAAAACTGAGGTTACATTATATATATATATATATATATATATAATGTAAAAAAATTCAAGATATTGAATTCCAGATCTTAAATTATTAACGTCCATACACATTCAAATCTAGCCACTTAATATGCAAAGTGGGTATTGCTGCTTTCATGATTTTTCCAATACGTTTGAAGCAATCAACAATGTAAATGCATTTGGCCATGTATATCTCTTGGTATTAAAACTTTACCGAGACCCCTGATCCGCCAAAAAAGTAGGGCATGCATACACTAGCTTGATTGATTTTACAGGGTAAAGATCCTTGGACAAAACAATGTCCACTTGTCCAGTAGACAACCATACCAGTTACCACACAAGTCTGCCTAACATAGATAAACTCTGAAGACCCAACAAGCCAATTAACTCATAAATAACAGCAATCAACATAGCGGCTACTGTAACTGAACTTATTGGATTGCGGGTGTTACTGCTTGTTACTACTGCTTCTTTTATTCATCTTTCTTTGAGCCGAGGGTCTACAGGAAATAACCTCTCTACCTTCTCAAGGTAGGGGTAAGGTCAGTGTACACACTACCCTCCCCAAACCCCACCTGTGGGATTCCACTGGGTTTGTTATTGTTGTTGTTATGCTACTATAACTGAAGAAGTAAAAGTAACTAATACACGAGGGGTCGTTTGGCTTAGAAACAAGTTATGCAGGGATTAGTAATGTAGAGATTTGTAATGCAGGGATAAGTTATTTTGGTTACTACAAGAAGGGTTATTTTTGTCATTTCGTGATTTAATCCATGTGCTACTAACTCCGCATTCTTATTCCACACTCAATCAAGCATAAAATAATACATATATTCCCGCATAACTTATGCGAGCTTCAGTTATGCGGAAAAGAAATTTTGAAACCAAACATTCTAATGCATTATACTAAGTTTTATGTGGAAAAGAAAAATCAAACCAAACATTGTATAAACCAATGTTGAATTTTATTAGGAGATTATTTTCTCCATTACTCCAAATGTCACCTAAGTGTAGTAAACAAGTAAATTGTATAATCATGTAGTTTAAGCTTACTTTTAAAGGCTAAAGGAGGTTATAAAGAATCGTTAAGGTCTCCATGTACACCCTTTGAACTTCAAGCAATATTGCATAACAATTATCTCGCCGCAGTAGGTTTTGAAGCAATATTTTACAAATTCAGGGAAAGTTTAACAGATAAGCTTACAGCAGAAGGTTTGATGCAATATGTGAAATATCTAGCAATACTTTCATATTCGGTTCAATCACGACAAATGATCTGACTAAGCAGCACTATGTAAACAACCTAATATATGCACCTGGGGCAAAACGGAGCAGGCAAGTTCACTTAGGGAATCGGAAGTGGACTCGCTATTTTCCAAGTAAATTCGTAAAAGCTTTTGAATGACCTCTGCCTGCAATTAAAAATTAATCAAACTAGCAACCCAAAGAAAATTTATTGTACAGTCAGCTGTCATTCAAGAAACACGATGGTGATGTTTGCTGGAGCAACTAGATTAACATACTTTGACTTTCTGACCATCTTCAATGTCATTAACACCATCACACTTTTCCATCAAGAGTTTGTAAGCAAAAGTTCCCAGCTTCTTTGACAGAAAAGAAAGTAGCTCTTTCGAAAAACCTGTGCGAATATCTTTTCCAATATCATCGAGATCGTTATCTAGGATAGTTCGGATAGAGGCAAGTACTGATTCTAAGCTTAACAATACTTCGGATGCCAAAGCAAATGAGACAGCACGTGCTGCAAGGAAAAAAGTCAAGTGGTAGGGACATACATATGCTTCCTTGATAAATGAAAGAAATATGTGAACCAAAAGAACAAATTCAGAAGTAGCATACCTGAATCAAAGATAGTCCCCACGAATGAATATGCACCAGCATATAAATAACCTATGTCTCCTGGTGAAGGAATCAATTGCATGCCTTGGAAAAAGCAGTCTGTCATGCTGATTGGCTGGAATGCCTCCAGAAGATCAGTAAGTACTGACCTGTCTCTCTGAACATCCGGAATGTTTAGCATCTGCAATTGAAGTGAAAGAAAAGGAAACAAGAGATACAAATTTGATCAGAAATTTAGCAAGGAAAAAGAGAATCCCCCCCCCCCCTCCAAACCGTTTCTTTTAGTTTTTGTTTTATATAGGCGAAGATTAGGACCGAAATGTTTTACCTTGCCAAAGCATTGAAGTGTCTCTTTTATGACAAGTCTTGAAACTGATGGTCTAAAGATTGTAATATTGGGTATATCAGGATTTCCAGCAAAGGCGGAATGAGTTTTCCAATGATCTGGGCATATCTCTGTATCTGCATAAACTCTATGTGAGATATCTAAATTTGGCATTTTTCTTTTGGCAAGGCATTGAACAAAGCCTGCTGTAATACCTGCTCTAACACCAGATAATGCAGAATTCAAGTGCCTTCTAAGAGAAGGAAATATTGGCTGAATTTTGCTTATGAACTCTATTACTTTCATCTCACCAAATGCAGGAGGAACACTCATGCGCCTAACCAATATATGCCTTCGTGGACTGAAGTAGTCCAGCTTTCTGTTTAGATCCCGCAGAATATATAGACAAAGGGGCAACTGGAACCACCAGGGAGTTAGATATTCTCAAAGATGAAAGTCCAAATATAAGTACACTTGAATTTATGCACAAATTTCACAATATTACAAATTTAAACAATTAAAAAGGAAAAAGGAACTGAACACGTCCATGAGAGGTTCATATATCCTAGTGAAGAGGGCATACTAAAGGAGCTCATTGAATACCTCAGAAGCTGGATCTGCACAGCAGGAATCCTGAGTCTGCATTGAAAACCATACTTAAACAAGTTAGAAATGCTGTGCGCAATGATTTCAGGCAGCTATTATGTGAATTTACACATTGCAAAGAGATATCAAGTGTCAACTTAATATAAGAATTGTCTATCAGTTCACAAATCTCCTCTCTTTTTTTATTACTCTTAATTGAAAGAAAAAAGTTATTGCATAAATTGTCAAAATAGCACTAGAGTTGTGCCTCAAAGGACTAATGACCGAAGAAAGATATGTTACATTTCCATTGCAAATTAGAAAAAGGGAAGGTAAGAATGGAAGGAAAGAAGGATGCAAGTTGGCAATGAAATCTATTAACTGATCACAAGAGTAAGGGCTGAGTTAGTAGACCAATCAATCAACTAATAATCAGACCAAAAGCATATATGGATTTGGTCGGAGAGCTAGTTCTGATTATTTAGATGTGTTCATTCAATAATCATTAACTACTTTCAACAGAGTAATACTGTGGATATTAGTTCAAAAGGCAATATTCTCACATGACAGCCAAATACTAAGCAATTAATGAAATTGTTTTGATTAGAGACATCGAATATCATGTGATAAACATTGCTCGAATCAGATAAAATAATTCAAATAAGATAACTCCTAAATCTTTCATCACGCAACTAATTCTTTAGTTCTGGGAAGGCGTTCTTAAAGTGCTATGTGCAGCTGGCGTCGCTATGTCAATACTCTATCACGCTACTAAAAGCATTTGGTGCTCAAGAAAAATTTGTGAAATGGAAAATATCATGAAAATGCCTAAGAGTTGTATTCATGGTAACTCATTCACATTTATCTTCTTCATTATTTAGACATTTGATGAAGAACCCTGATTCAAGAATCTAGATACAGTTCAATAGTCAAATAAAGGTTAAGTATCAAGATGATACCACCAGAAGAGTAACACCTCAGCGGTGGAAACATGTTTTCTCCAGATGGGGCATGCAGAAGACTTCAAATGAAGCCCTGAGATGTAAGAAATACCCAGCCCATAATATCCAGATAGAATGGCCAGGATATAAAAGGAAAATCAAACGAAGGTTATGCACTGGCTGAAAAAGGATTTAAAAGAGTGACACCAGTGAAAAGAACCATATACTTCAGGCACTGGCTAGCTCAAATCAAAACCCATTTAGACAGTGAAAGGAAGGAACTCATTAGAGACACTAGTACTACCTTCTGAAAAGCTAAGATGGCAAAGCAATCCAGCAAAAGAGGCCTGAATTTGTATCTTTGTGCTTCCACATGCTCCACAGCGGTAGAAACATCGACATTTGCTGGTAGATTAGAATTACGTGGTTGATTCCCTGAGGGCTCAGGTGTGCTACCTTTAGAGCACGTTCCAGAAGGACTCACACTTGGTTCTTGGCTCGGAACTGCACCTGCTTTCCTTAGAACATCCACGATGGTTGGCTGCCTAAGTTTTCCATCAGTAAGTGATGCTTGACTGGTCTTTTTCTCTTTCTTCTTCTTTTGTGATAAACCACCATTCCCATTACCATGCTCATTCTTAATCTCCTGATCTCTATTATGATCAAGCTGGTTCGGTGACAAGGACTCCAGATGAGGTTGGAGTTCAGGTAAAGAAAAGGAGCACTGTCTGAGGGAACTGTTTAGCAAGCTCTCCAGGAATCTGCATTAGTAAACCTTTGTTAGCTTTATGAAGTTCTGTTGTCACAGCATGATTCTTTATTGAGAAAGAACTGACTCATGGGTTGGTTATCATGCAGTTGCTGATGCATATGCATATTGCAGGGTAAAGTTGCTAGAGAGAAGGAACCCTACTGATGCATATGCATATTGGAGGGTAAAGTTGCTAGAGAGAAGGAACCCTGCTGATGCATATGCATATTGCAGGGTAAAGTTGCTAGAGAGAAGGAACTTTAGGGTTCCTTCTCAAAGAAAACACATTAAGGAAGTTTACAAGAGAAAGATAACACATCCAGCCAGGCCTGACATTTGTTGAATCAAAGCATAAAATGAATACAGAATGAAGGCCATTCAATTGTAAGATGTAATTTTTAAGAATTTATAAATCCCGTAACCTGGAAGAAGGAAGATTTTTATAGAACTGTTTTAAATCACTCTGCAACTAGTGAAGACACACATAAGTTAATCAAAGATTACCGTGTACAGGAGTGGGTTGTTATCTTACTCTGATAGCTCACAGAAAATTCAAAGAAACTAGTGGGTGCACATTATACAATACAGGGACAAACCATTTCCTTTCACCATTAAATGTTAATGGGATCTGGGAAACAGGTAACCTCCTTTATGAGTTGTTTGTGACAAAGATGCATGAAGATGAACAGAGTTGATAGCTAGTTAGGAGGTCAAAAAGGGTCCTCAAAACATGCAGGGCTGAAAAGTTATATCATGCATGGCATACAGGAAAAGGACATGAACACATACACGAGGTTCCTCAACCGCTTAAAAAGTTTAAGAGTTATCTCCTCTCTTGTTGCTTGACTGAATGCATCACATTCATTGACAGCTTGAGTGCAAAAGGCATTGAGCTACATAATAAACCAGAGAAGTCAGATAGCATGCTTAAACATAATATATTGCCAGAAATAAATCACCTACACCACATTGGCGAGATTATCAACAATACCTACCAGTTCCCGCAGCCAATTGGCAGCATAGTACAATGATAAGATAATGATTTGCTTTTGCTTTCCACTTAAAGAGCCCCAAAGTGGTTCAGAGAAGAACTGACACAAATAAAATGGACATTATTAGCACACAGAGAAGCATGCAGCAGGTATAAGACTACAAAGTTTTAGTCATACGCCAATAAATTGCCAAGTAACATTTTTTATACTTTAATATGTAAATGCATCTTATAGAAGTAAATATTCAATATACAGGTCAAACAAAATAAATGGTGTACAAATCAAATTTGAATTAACATTGGAAGCACAAGGCATTTGAAGCCAGAGCAGATTAATTTTGAACTATTATTCCCTCTATTGCAAAGTGAAATTCTTAGTTTGATTTTGCAATTTATCAAGCGTATAGTTGAAAACGCGAATAGTACAGCATTTGTTAATGAAGGGTATGGCCATATATTGACCTTTTTTCTGTTTTCGATAATAGAATAGAGAAAGTTTCATTTGAAAGAATGAATGTGAGATCAATATAATTTTTTGTGAAGTGCAGCATGTTTGATCACTTTTTAATCAGTGCAGTATGTAAGAAAACTTATCTTTCAAAAATGTGATCATTATTTGGGCTGGACACAGCATGAAAAAAGAAAATTGGACATTCAGTTTGAAATGGAGGAAGTCATATACACATGGTTTTTTTAACAACTTTATCATTTTATTAACAATATGGGCATAAAAACGCCCGTATACAAGAAGTACACCAAAAGCATAGAGACCCTACAAAAAGATATGGTTCTCTACTAATGACATCCAATCTTCTATACATAAAGGAATCTCACGGGTACACCAAAAAGAAATAAGGCATAAAAGGCTATTCCTCAATTGTACAAAGTTCATCTCAACATCTTCAAAAGCTCTCCTATTTCATTCTCTCCAAACGACCAACATAAGAGCTTGAATCAAATTACTTGGCGCAAGCTTATGTTGCAAAGCAAGCCAGTGCTAGTTGGCACTAGGCTCAAAGTTCATACACAGGCCTCTCCATGGGCTGAAGAGCCCACCCAACACATTTTACCTGCGCCCTTTTCAACCTAGTTTCAGCATAGAAAGGCCTGGTTTATATGGAAGATGCAAAGCAAGCTTAAACATATAATTTGTATAATTTACTATCCCAACCAATCTACAGCTTGATTAAAGCATATAGAACCTGGTCCATGGATGAACAAAATAAGGTTAGACTGATTTTCCAACCTTGCCTTGACAATTGAGTCAATTTAACTTGATTTGTTAAAGACGAAAACAATAGAGAGTTAGTTTGACTAAAATATCATGATGTTGTTGGTAATTAAGTTAGTTGGGCAGGGAACATATGAGTTGAGTGAACTACCTTCTCTAAAAGCTTAAATTATTAGAGAAAACAAATTTATACATTTAATCCGTACAATGTCAGTATATGCAAGCTAATTTATTTTCCTTAGAGTCTTGGACCAAACACAAAAAAAGAATTTTATACAAAAGATGATGGTGCTCGAACAAAGACCTTTGACTGTTTTGATATCACACACTAACTACCATCCACTTCCTCAAAATGGTACTTAGTCACCTCTTATTACATGTAATAAAGTTTATTCAGTATCCACTTTTCACTTTACAATATCTCAAGAAGAAAAAATTTGGTCCATCACTCCACTTTGGCCCGCCTGTCTATACCCTTTTTGTACACCACGGATATCAGTCCACAAAGCCATATCCTCAAAATACTGTTTTCAGCTTATTCATAATTCATCTACATTAAATCATGCATACTGCAAATTACCTTATTCACTATTCTACAAAGTCATTGCCTAAAACATTAAAGCATGTAAAAGTCCAACATGACAGTCAATATAAAATAGGTGGTTGAAAATGAGCAATAATATGCCCACCTCAATTTGGGACATAGAGGTGATTTAAACATCATTTCCAGTTTCCCCACCTTTATGTTTATTTACATGATTTTTAATCCAAAGTCAGACCAAAACAAGATTTCCAAAAACTGCAGTTTAGAGCACTAATGCAGGCACGTCTTTTCATCTCCAAAATTAGATGATGATGATGTGAACTATCTCCTGCCAGCTATTAATAGATGCTAATTTTTTATTAACTTATAATTATCTCACTTAGCAGATGACTATTCTCGTTTCTAGATATTGCTTAGACATTGGCCCTTTTATTATTTACAATTATAGAGATTACGTAAGTGGGAGGATGATCATAAACTAAAGGCAAATTTCATTTTGATCATATAACTTTCTTGAGTTAAAAGGAATGGATACAAAGGATCATAGAGTTGATCGCAACTAATTTTCGCAGTGGATGTGATTGAAATGGTTTACAAGAGTAACTGGGAAGGCACTAAATCCCACGTGCTATTTGTAAATCATGCTCCTTTACAATTTTAAATTTAAGAAAATGACCTTTTTAGATCTCTTATGTGTAGAAGACACATCTCTTGCATGTAAAAGTAAATCTCTCATGTGTAAAAAAAAAAAAAAGAGGTAGAGTCATAAAACTAAAAACAAGTTTGTAAAGCCAAAAAATCAATTGACCCGAATCCCACCTTAGAGGAAGGAAGGTGTATAGGGCAGCCAAGAAGTGCATCAATCCCTGCAAGAGATCCTTGATTTGCCAACCTCTCAATCTGACATAGCAATGAGATCAAACATAGAACATTCAAGAATTTAGAGGATGTAGTTTCTGAAGAATTGGGTACTTACTGAAGACAGCAAAACGAAGTTTGCAGGAAGAATTTGCAGTGATGAGGCGGCCCTGCATGAGTTGTATGATATGTGATCATCTATGCAGAACAACAACACTAACAGGCAGAAATATTACCAGAACATATATCTAACTCAGGATAATTATAAGTCCAAGGTTGTTCACAGGTGACTTTGACTCGGATAGAAATTTGACATAAATTCATTTAAGAGCACGAAAGGAGTATCAGGAGAAATTTAATCAAAGACACTGCAATATTGGTGTAAATGTCAAAGTTTTCCTCATGTCCCGCACAACATCTTCAAGGTGTAACGAAACATCTCCTAGCTGCATTCTATTGGAATAATTTCATTCAGTGGGTTAAAAGAGAGCAGTAGGACTAACTGACACATGTATATGGTTAAATTAAAGTCACTCGACAATTTCTGCAAATGTCAGAGTTCCCTCTAACCTCAGAAATGTCCTTGAAGTGCAAAAAAATATCTCCTAGCACCTTTTTATCATATTTCAGAAAAAATGAAGGATGGCAATAATGGTATTCCCAAGTGCAACAACAGAATGTGATGAGAAATTCCTAAAATGGTCCTTCATCAGAACCAGCCACCCAATCTTTGCATTAACAAAATTACTCAAGACCTCATCCTAATATGCCTTTGAAGATTTATTCCATTTCAATATGAACAAATATGTTTCAGTTAGTAATTTGTTCAGATTCTATTGTTAAGGCTTAAGGGTGAGGTTGATCAGGATAGGAAAAGGACAGGAAGCAGGAAAATAGGAGAGAAACATGGAAGATATAGGAGATGGAGGAGGGGGAGAAGGGAGAGAGAATTATATCTGAGTGAAGCTGAGGCTAACACAGCTAATAATTTTGCATCAAAGAATTTCTTTCAGATTGACCATTTTAATTCCAAAACTCTGGTAACCTGGTTATCAAAAGATCAAGATTCCCTGGATAAGTTAGTGATTCTCTGGCTTTATAGTTTAAAGCCAGTTAGTAAAAGTGGAGTAAGCAAAAGTAGGCATGTAACTACTTTAATTTCTGTTTGTTTCGTTACTCAAAATTCAGCACATAAGGATGTATAAACTTTTCAAGCAGTAAGATAAAGCAGATTGATTACAAAATTACCGCAATGAAGAGGATACAAGTGGCAATACATTCAGACATATAGGAGATATGTCTCCATCAAGGTTCATCCATAAATCTCCTGCACATATAAACAGAAATTAAAACTTCAATTGATGATTATTTAATGGAAATTGCTAGCAAAGTTTCTGGAATGCACGTGCGAAGCATACCTTCCAAACCACAATATAACTCTTTGACCATAAGCTCCCCACCGTCGAGGTCACACAAAAACTTTGATTCGAAGTCCCCAACACGTTTGCTTGTCCTGTGAGCAATGCACGTGTTATGTACTATAATATTGATTAATGGTGATAATCATGTGCTTACCATTCTACTATGGCTGGATGAAGTGCCTTTTTCTTCAATGTTAAAGCCAGATCATCATAGAACATAATTAATGGAAGTGGCAGCTGCTTGCAAGAATTCATAGATGTTTCCAAAAGCTCCAAAGCTTCCTCGTAATTTGACTTCTAAACCAAACCACATAAATTGAGAAGTATCATAATAAAGGAACTACGGCATGACAATGTTTAAATGAAAGCTCAAATAACTGAATATCATGACAAAGAAAATATGGAAATTCAACATGACAAATTAATTCAACGAAAGACACCCTGAAAATAAAACAAGACAAATTCCTGAAACCGATGCGAAGAAACACGCAGCTTAAAATCTAGTAACTTGAGGACATTATCAAATATGGCATTATGGTTCAGTAATTTTTGTATTGAAATACGATCAGCACTGTCACTCTATTAATCATCAATATTGTGAAGGTTAAAAGTGAATATTATCAAGCAATTTAATGATGATATATACCTATACTTATCATGTTCTAAAATAACACCTTACTTTGAAAATAGAGTTAGGAGCTTTTAGGTGACAAAATTGTTTACCAGTAATAATAAAGGGAAACTATCAACTATGACAGACATAGAAGAGAACTTGCAATAAAATGACTTCCGCTGTAGGCATTATTGTAACACGTTGAAAACCTAGAGCACTTGCAGACAGATTTAAGGTATTCAGCAAAGCACAATAATCTCGCAATATAGCGTATCTAAGTAGAAACCACATGTAGCCAGTACCTTTTCAAATGTTCCGCCTTTTTCCATAAGTCTCTGACTACTACTAGAACTCCATTACTGAATTCTCATAGTCACAACTACTATTGGCACTAACAACTGTACTTCTTAGTTCCATTTTATATGCTATTTGTCTGGATAAGAAGTTTAAAATGTTAATTGACTTGTCCACTATATTAGTTGTATTGGAAGAAAATATTAAGTAATAGCTGAAAAGTTAATTTGATAGAGAAAACATCACATCGAAATTCAAATTATGGATTAGTTAAATAAATTTGAATTCTTAAAGTTGTTTAAATAGTATAATAATGTTATGCAGTGAATGGTATACATTGGAATGCTTCAAAATAATTTTGAGCCTCATTACAGATTAGGAGTCTGGTCCTGCTTCGAATTTATTGCGGAAGTTTGTCTTCTGATTTCTATCAGTAGGCCTTCCCATTGAGCTGACTACACAACATAACTATTAAATGAGTGATTAGCTAGTGCATAAACTGACATACAGGGCCACTAATCTATGTTGCTCGGACTCTCCAAAATTGTTGCCGCACCCGTGTCGGATCCTCCAAAAATGCACTACTTTTGGAGGATCCGACACGCACCAGTCAGCAATTTTGAAGAGTCCGAGCTGTGAGAAATATGACACGAGAAAATTATATTATTGATGTGTTAACAATGATACAATGAGTCCTATATATATAATACATGTTCTACTCCTACTACATATAGGATTAGAATTATTTACATGTAACTATTTAACTACCAAACTAACACTCCCCCTCAAGCAGGTGCATATAAATTATATGTACCGAGCTTGTTACATATAAAACTAATACGAGGACCAGTGAGGAACTTGGTGAAAATATCAGCAAGCTGATCATTCGACTTCACAAAATTTGTAGCAATATCTCTTGAGAGTATCTTTTCTCTGACGAAGTGACAATCAATATCAATGTGTTTAGTCCTCTCATGGAACACCGGATTTGATGCAATATGAAGGGCAGCTTGATTATCGCACACAAGTTCCATCTGACTGATTTCACCAATTTTCAACTCCTTGAGCAATTGTTTGACCCAAATTAGCTCACATGTTGCCATAGCCATTGCTCGATATTCTGCTTCTGCACTAGACCGAGCAACTACATTCTGTTTCTTGCTCTTCCAAGACACCAAGTTGCCTCCGACTAAAACACAATAACCAGACGTAGAACGTCTATCAGAAGGTGATCATGCCCAATCAGCATCTGAGTATCCAACGATCTGCTCATGGCCTCGATCCTCAAACAATAACCCTTTTCCTGGAGCCGATTTTATATACCGAAGAATGCGGACAACTGCATCCCAATGACTATCACAGGGAGAATCCATAAACTGACTTACAACGCTCACTAGAAAGGAAATGTCATGTCTAGTCACTATGAGATAATTTAATTTACCAACCAACCGCCTATATCTTGCAGGATCGCTAAGTGGCTCCCCCTGTCCTGGTAGAAGTTTAGAATCCGAATCCATCGGAGTGTCAATCGGTCTACAACCTGTCATTCCTGTCTCCTCAAGAATGTCTAATGCATACTTCCGCTGTGAGATCACAATACCTGAGCTAGAGTGAGCGACCTCAATACCTAGAAAATACTTTAGTCTGCCCAGATCCTTAGTCTGAAAGTGTTGAAAGAGATGTTGCTCCAATTTAGTAATACCATCATGATCATTGCCGGTTCGTCAACAAAGACCACCAGATAAATACAGAGACTTGAAGCAGAATGCCGATAAAACACAGAGTGATCAGCTTCGCTACGAGTCATGCCAAACTCCTGAATAATTGTGTTGAACTGACCAAACCAGGCTCGAGGAGACTGCTTTAGACCATAAATTGACCGGCGCAAGCAACATACCAGGCCGCGAGACTCCCCCTGAGTAACAAACCCAGGTGGTTGCTCCATATAAACTTCATCCTCAAGGTCACCGTGTAGAAAAGCATTCTTAATGTCCAGCTGATAGAGAGGCCAATGGCGAACAGCAGCCATGCATAGGAAAAGGCGGACCGATGCTATCTTAGACACGGGAGAGAAGGTATCACTGTAATCGAGCCCAAATATCCGAGTATATCCCTTGGCAACAAGACGGGCCTTAAGTCAATCAACCTTGCCATCCGGACCAACCTTGACTGCATACAACCAACGACAACCAACAGTAGATTTACCTGAAGGAAGAGGAACGAGCTCCCAAGTACCACTTGTATGTAAAGCAGACATCTCGTCAATCATAGCATGTCGCCATCCTGGATGAGACAATGATTCACCTGTAGACTTAGGAATGGAAACAGAGGACAAAGAAGATATAAAAGCGTAATGGGGTGATGAAAGATGATGATAACTTAAACTGACATAATGGGGATTAGGATTAAGTGTGGTCCGTATACCTTTCCGAAGTGCAATCGATGTACTAGGAGCAGGGTTCGCAGTAGGAGCAGGGTCAGGTGCAGGACGTGAATCAGTTGGGCTTGATGCTGGGCGCGGACGACGATGATAAGTCAAGAGTGGTGTTCCTGTGGCTGGGGGTCTAGGAGGTGCCACACTAGACTCCTCAACGGTTGGAATGGGTAAGACTTCTGTGGCGGAAGGTGAAGGAGGAGCTATAGTAAACTCCTCAAAGGTCGGTATAGATAAGACCTCAGATATATCAAGGTGGTCAGAAGAGGTAATGAAAGGTTTAGACTCAAAAAATTTGATGTCAGCTAACATAAGGTACCTACGAAGATCAGGTGAGTAACAACGATATCCCTTCTGAACACGAGAATAACCAAGGAAGACACACTTGAGAGCACGAGGAGCTAACTTATCTTTCCCAGGAGCTAAGTTATGAACGAAACAAGTGCTCCCAAAAACACGAGGGGGAAGAGAGTATAAGAGTGACTGGGGAAATAATATTGAATACGGAACCTGACTCTGGATGGGAGATGAAGGCATCCGATTAATCAAATAACAAGCTGTGAGAACTGCATCGCCCCAAAAAGGCAACAAAACATGAGATTCAATGAGAAGTGTGCGAGCAGTCTCAATGAGGTGCCTATTCTTTCTCACTGCAACCCCATTTTGCTGAGGGGCATAAGGACAAGAGGTATGATGAATAATTCCTTAAGAAGTCATAAATTGCTGAAATTGAGAGGATAAATATTCTAAGGCATTATCACTACGAAAAGTAAGAATAGAAACACCAAATTGATTATTGATTTCAGCACAAAAATTGTGGAATATAGAAAACAACTCAGAACGATCTTTAATTAAGAAAAGCCAAGTACATCTTGAATTATCATCAATAAAACTAACAAAATAACGAAATCCCAAGGTTGAACTGACTCTGCTAGGACCCCATATATCAGAATGGACTAAAGAAAAAACAGACTCTACATGACTCTCAATACTACGAGGAAAGGAGGCTCGGGTATGTTTCCCGAGCTGACACGACTCACATTCTAATGTAGATAAGCTAGACAAACTAGGCACCATCTTCTGAAGCTTGGACAAACTTGGATGTCCTAAACGTCTGTGAATTAGGTCTGGAGGATCTATAACTAGACATGCCTAGGAGGGATTGAGTGAGTTAAGGTAGTAAAGGCCGTTTGATTCAAGTCCTGTGCCAATTGTCTGTCCCGTACTGCGGTCCTGCATAATAAAAGAATCATCAATAAAATATATACCACAATGGAGGGCAAAAGTCAAACGACTAATAGATGCAAGACTAAAAGGACACCCAGGGACATAAAGAACGGAATCTAGAGTGACAGAGGGTAGGGGATTAGCTTGTCCAACTCCTTTTGGTTTAGTTTGAAATCCATTGGCTAAAGTGATAGTGGGAAGAGACTGTGAATACACAATATTTGACAAAAGTGATTTATTACCAGAGATATGATCAGAAGCACCTGATTCCACGACCCATTGTCCAAGAGTACTAGACTGGAAAACACAAGCAAAAGAATTACCAGCAACAGAAGTATCAGTCTGAGCAACAGAGTATACTTGTGGAGATGTCTGCTTACTTGCTCGGTACTGAAGGAATTCCTTATATTCCCCTACAGATAAAGAAAACCCCCGGTTACCTTAGTCTCGATCTGAGCAACATAAGCATTTTTGGGTGGTCGATCATGTAAAGAATAGCACACTTCACGAGTGTGTCCAAGTTTATGACAATAAGAACACTTAGATCTAGATCTTCCAAAATGACCTCCTCGTCTATTCTCCATAGTTTGAGATGCCCGATTTCCACTGTCTGGGATGCGAGAACAGAGGAGTCAAGTGTTTGTGATGAGATCACTGGGTGACTTGGTGCTGCAGCAAGGCGAAGTAATCCAGAGAATAAGTCATCAACTGTAGGGACAGTCGGACTAGCCAAAATCGGGTCACGTACTGAATCAAGGTCATTAGGAAGTCCAGCGAGTGTAAGAACTAGAAACATCTTCTGTCGTTGCTCGTTGATTTTCAATACTAGCAGAAACTGACATCAGCTTCTCAAATTCTTCCATGACTGCTTGTACTTGTCCCAAGTAAGTAGACATATCCGATTCCTGTTTCTTCAAGCTTGTCATTCGCGATATCACGTCATAGAAACGAGATATGTCATTAGTGTATAAAGTACGAGCCTTTTCCCAAACTAAATAACATGCCAGGAATGGGCGAAACAAAGGCATCAATTTGGAATCAATAGATCGCCACCAGATACTACATAACTGAGCATCGATCTTTTCCCACTGTGCTTTGGCCTTGTCATCTCCCTCACTAGCCTGTTTGGTTAAGTGATTTTGAACACCTTGACCTTTACACCACAACTCAACACACGAGGCCCAAGATAAATAATTGGAAGTCCCAAGTAGGGGTTCAGAAGTAATCATCAAGACTGAATTTCCAGCGCCACTGTTTTTGGAACCAAAAGCATAAAGTCCGAGAGACATGGTTGGATTAAAGACAGGGCTAGCAAAATTATCAGCAAATAACGGAAGAAATCTGGATACTTTTGCCGGAAAAAATATTGTAGTTGTCGGAAAACTACTGTAGTTGCCGGAAAATTTTCGAAGTGCTCGGAATCAAAAAATAAAAGCACGGGTAGGCTCGAAATTACAAGTAGGTCCGACTGTTCTGAAGAAGAAATTTCAAAAAATGGCCGGAAAAGGCTCCGTGCGCCGGCGCGAGGAGGAAAAAAAATTCTCCCAGCGCCGCGTGAGAGGTTGTATGCCGGAGGTGTTTGATGGGGTTTGGTCGCCGGGGGTTGGGGAACCTTGTGGTGGTGTTGGTTTTTGCACAACACTAATGGAAATTGGTTTTTTTCGAAAAACAACCCTAAAAGGTCACCGGAATTGATGCACGGCGACTGTTTTGGGTGGGTTTTCTTTCCCGGATGTTTTCTCACTGCTGCTCTGATACCGTGTGAGAAATATGACACGGGAAAATTATATTATTGATGTGCTAACAATGATACAATGAGTCCTATATATATAATACATGTTCTACTCCTACTACATATAGGATTAGGGTTATTTACATGTAATTATAACACGAACAACATAGCTACTAATAGAAATCAGAAAGACAAACTTCAGCATCAAAAGATTAGAACAAGGTCAGACAATACAAGCTTCAAAATACTGCAACATATGTCTTTTAATATGACCACCTGGAATAAGATAAAGTTGTCTCAAGTATCAGCAGGCTACCTGAGATGATGAAAGTTGCTTTGTCGCTTTTGCATCCCCAAGGTAGGAGACAATCTTGAGAGTGCCAATTAAGCCCATCTTCTTATAAATGAGATCAGGATTACTCAGCTGCCAGACGATTTAAAGAGCACAAGCTGTCATTGTGACTAAAAGAATGACGCTGTCATAAATCCTAGAGAGTGTCATATTGTCCATTTACCTGCTTTCTCACAATCACTAGTAGTTCATTTGAAATAGGAGATCCAAAGGACACTGTACTCACTTGAGCAGAAAATGCCAAAAGACTGAAAGCTTCATACACCTGTAACATAAAAGGTGTTGCTCAAAGACAAGCGAGGAAATGGCTTAAATCATGATGCCAAGAGAGGCATGGTTGATCGCGTCACCAACCTTATGCAGGTTTTGAACACTAAATGTCTCCAAGTAATCTAGGATGCCTGAAAAGATGCACCAAAATAAGCATATAACTAAACCTTATGCAAAATTTCCTAGTCTAGTCAGCATCAACACTGCACCAACAAGCACACCAGTTATATGAGAAGATAGTGGAATCAACTCCTGTGAGTACTTTGAGGCTAGGAGGACCAGCACATCCAAAGCAGAACTCACTTCATGACTTATCCCAGAGCCCACATGAGTAATTAATGCTCCAAGGACCTTCATTTAAAAAACAGCTAATTACAACTACGGCATGCAGGATAACATTTTGCATTTACTTTCAAAATCAGGAGAAACAATCTAATAAATGCTTGAGAAGACAATCTTACTTCCTGTCTTGAATAACTATCCACAAGCTCTTTGAATAGATATGTGTACATGTGAATGCCGAATTCCCGGGCTTTGGCTTCTTTGCAAGCCAGTAAGTACTCAGAAATGGAAAGGAGGGTAGGAAGATAATCCTAGTATAGAGCATAATAAGTCAACATGACAAAACTGCAGTAATATAGCTCGCACAGGAAATGGGAATGTAAGCTTTAGCTCTGCGATGAATATCAAAGCGTAAACCATACCTGAGCCAAATCCTTATTCCCAGAAACACATTGATCAAACATTGTTTCCACTATACAGCCCTCAAGAATTTTCTTCTTCAGTAACTTCTCAACACTCTTTTGTAAAGGCTCGCTGTTCATGTATATAAGCATAAGCAACCATATGTCTATCACCTTATGATTCTGAACATTCTCAAGGCTTTTCAGTTCATTCAATGTCTCTTGGCAAATTACCTATGTATAAAGAGCAGAACTGATGTAAATATTTTATACCTAATGACTCAATGAAATTATCAAGTATATGGCAATGAAATTGTAAATCCCACTTTATTAAATCGAAGACTTGTCCGCAAGGCATCAAGTATTGAAGCTTCTGCATTGTTGACGACTGACTTTCCCTTCATCTTACTCTGCTGTGTGGTCCAAACATTCGATGCTCCAACAAGTTTGAGCTGATGTCGGATGTGTGAAATAATCCTACGAGTATTGGCTGGCGTAGCCAAAAGCAGTAGGAATCTCAATAGGTAGGGCATATGCTCCACATCAATCGTTCGGATACAAGATAACGCCACTGTAATGACCTTTACAAGTTTCAGAAAAAGAAAGTGTTATTCTGGTGAAAGTCAATAATTAGTATATTGATTAATACATGTTCAACAAAGTAACCTGTTCTTGCAACATATCATCCAAATGGAGGTTAGAGAAACAGTCGAGCATGGGAACAATAATGGAAGAATCCTCTTGAAGCATCTCCTGAAGCGAATCTACGACAGTTTTGTTGTTTTTCTCCCCAATAATCTCAGGCAATGACCCAATTATCTCCTTCTTCAAGTGAACCGGGCAAATAGATAATACTTCAAACAGTTTTTCAGTAAATGTTTCTGAGTCTACAAGGAAGTCAAGCCACCGGAATTGGTTCAGAATCAGCCTTGCTACGTCTTCTTCAAGACATAAAGAGGATGATCTCCCTCCAACATTTCCACCAGGGTCCACATCAAAATACTCAGGAAGCTTTTCAAGCAGCAAGTTTTGAATGTGTGACTGGATGGAAGGAACCAGTAGCAGTACTCTTGCCAGACTGTCACTTCGTACTGATCCAAGTCCATCACGTCTTGAAGGTGATAAAATGCTGTCGTGATCAAATAGCTGCTACAGTTAGATATTCTGATGAGAAGTTTTCTCGAGCATTTATTTCTTAATTTGGATAACATTAACAGTATAGAGTACCAGAAGTTGTATTTGCATCTAATGTTTACAAGATGCACAAAAAACCTCTTTTACTTTTTCAGTCCCATTTATTGGAAAGCATAAAAATGTTAGATGCATCTACACTGACTTCATAATGAATGAATCTAAATCACATCTGTGAAAACTGACAAAGTATGGAACGATAGCATTCAACACCTATCATTTCCCTATTTCCAATACACAGTCCCTTGCCAATAACCATGTATCCCCTTGTGACATCTTGTAGGTGGTTACAAGCTAGACTGGTACCACGTTTTTTGGCTAGTGATCAAAGAGTACACTTGTCATTTAGAACATAAGGTGATGCATTCAACAGAAGCTGGTGGACTCATCTTTAAATTCCTGATATCCCATATAAAATGAAGTAGTAAGCTAAACACAAGAGTACGTGCCTGTGTTTTTAGCAAGTAATAATATATTCGACAAGAACCATATATAATATAACAAAAAAACATAAAGCGCATTCACTGCTCAAAATGTTGTGCGGAATAGCGCGAAACATCTAGAAGCTAAATAGTGATGGCACCTTCATTTCTTTTCAACTGTCCTAAAATCTGTAGATTGAAAAGTAACTGTCTCCACCACACATTCCCCCCAGGGGCGAAGGTCAGTGTAGCAAGGGTGGTCAACTGACCACCCTTCGTCGGAAAATAATACAATATATATAGGTAAAATATTAGAATTTACATATATATAATACATATTGAACACCCTTGCAACAATGAAGAGGCATAGCCCGGTGGCAAAGGGTGGTCAAAACGCCTTAGGGGCGCAAGTTCGAACTCCTCCCTCCACAGTTTTTGTTGCAGTACAATTCTTTTTAAAGACAACCAGACAAGCAGACTAAACGACGTCGTTTTCTTTGTTTGACTTGCTTTATAATGTAAAAATCAGGAATAAACAAATCTGTATAAAACAAAAATTGGGAATAAACAAATCTAATCCCTAAAAGTCAAAATCAATCCATCCCCAATTCCTCATTCCTCACGGCCCACGCGAACAAAAAGGAAAAAACCTAGGTCAATTTTGGTATCCATCTTCTTCGATTTCTCTGCCAGTGACCAGCGAACTTCTGCGTTTGAAAGTTATTGTTGCTCTTCGCCTCTCCGTCTCCGCCGGCGTTACTCCGACAGTCCGACAACTCGTGACCGCCATTGAACTGGTTCGAACTTCGAATCTCTTGTCTTTTCTTTTCCTTTTTTTGCTTTAAAGTTTCAGTTGTGTTAAATTTCTCTGATTTTTGGTATGATAAATATTTTTAGGATAGTACACTGGAGTAATTAGTTAGCATTTATGTATACTGCTTGTTGTAAGTTCAAACACAAGCTGTTGGCTTTATGTTCCTTTTGTTTATTTAATTGTTGAGGAATAATATGTTTTAACTAGTTTATACATTCAGCAGATTGAAGTTGCAATGAACTTGTTGAAATTTTACAATAAAGTACCAAAAATAAGTTCGGCGTCTCAAAATCAATCTAATCGAGAAGAAAATGCCGATCAATCAGATTTTCTCTCGCATTCTTCTCTAAGACAAGAAATTGATACAAATGGTCCAAAGTCTGATCCAGCTGAAAGAACTCCAATATTGGAGTATCATCCAAACCTTCGCGATGAAATAAGGAGGTCATACATTCAAAGTGGTCCTTGCCAACCTCGGTATCACGACTTCCCTCAATCTGACTTTTCTGGATTCAAGCGTCGTTTTAATCCTACATGGTTTGATGAATTTAAATGGTTGGGGTATGATGTAAATACCGATGTTGCATATTGTTTACCTTGTTATTTATTTAAGGGCGAAAGTATTCATCAAGGTGGTGGTGATGTTTTTTTGAGTAAAGGATTTAGGAATTGGAACAGAAAAGATTGTTTTACAAAACATATCGGTTTGCCAAATAGTATTCACAATCAAGCAAATAGAAATTGTGATGATCTAATGTGGCAACAACAGTCTATTGTTGCTGCATTTGCAAACAGTCTGATCAAACTAAGCGTGAGTATTGGCTTCGCTTAAATGCTTCAGTTGATGTGGTAAGGATTTTCTTGAATCAAGGATTCGCATTCCGCGGTCATGATGAAAGTGAAACGTTATTGAACAAGGGTAATTTTATTGAAATTCTTCCATGATATGCGGATAAATGTGATAAGATTAAACCCTTTGTTTTGAAACGTGCTCCAAAAAAAAAAATAAGATGACTTCTTCAGATATTCAAAAAGAAATTGTGACCGCATGTAAGATAGAAACAATTAAAGCTATAATGGAGGATCTAAATGGTGACTACTTTGCTTTATTAGTTGATGAGTCTTTAGACGTGTCACGCAAAGAGCAAATGGCAATTGTTTTACGATATGTCGATAAAGCCAATTGCTGGCTCTGAATAACCAGCCCAGCAATAAGCTCAATTCTTCCATAACATAAGGGGGCGGGCTTCCGCGCTAGCCAAATGACTCAGGTGCACAAGAGTACTTCGCGCCACAACCATCTCTTTTTTATAGGTTCTACGGACTGATCTTTGGCGCTTATGGGGGGCCCGATCATACACATGCACCACCAGAGTCTTCATAAGAACTCTGGGGCGAGGGCCAAGGTGAACCCATATTAACGAGGAGAAGCGGTCAAATCAGTAGCAAAGGCACTAGGACGGACGGTTGGTTGAACCGGGCGATAGCTTCGCGATCGATAGCTCAGTGAGGTACACCACCCACCTTACTTCTGAAGTGTGATGGAGAGGTTTACTGGCATTGTTCATGTTCGAGATACTAGTGCTTTATCTCTAAAAAAAGTAATTGCCGATGTACTTGTTCATCATTCTTTAAGTTTATCTTCTATCTGTGGACAATGTTATGATGGGGCAAGCAATATGCAAGGTGGTATTAAAGATCTTAAGAAGTTGATTAAATAAGAAAGTAGATCGGCTCATTCAATTCATTGTTTTGCACTTCAACTTCAACTGACTATTGTTGCGGTTTCTAAGAAGTGTGTTCAAGTAGGTGAACTTGTATTATTGGTTCCAAATATTTTGAATGTATTGGGAGCTTCTTTTAAACGTGTGGATGAATTTCGAGAATCTCATAACGAAAAACTCCAAAAGGCATTAGATATGGGTGAACTAGAAACGGGTAGAGGCTTGAATCAAGAACGTGGTCTTGTTAGAGCCGGTAATACTCGTTGGGGATCTCACTACAAGTCATTTGGAAACTTTATTCGTATGTTTGGCTCTATTGTTGACGTTGTTGATACTCTTGTTGAAGATGCAGGTACTTTAGATGATAGAGCTAAGGCATCGGGACATCTCGAAGCTTGTCAAACATATAAGGTTGCATTCTTGTTGCATTTAATGACAGATATTTTGGGAATCACAAATGATCTGAATGTATCCTTACAAAAAAAGAGCAAGATATTGCAAATGTCATGCTACTTGTTCAAGTAGCAAAGAAAAGATTGCAAACTTTAAGGAGGGATGATGAATGGGATTCGTTTGTTGATAAAGTATCTATATTTTGTATCAAACATGATATTTTGGTGCCTAATTTTGATGATCTATATGTTAACTCCGGAAGATCACGGCGAAAACCTACTGATCATAATGTCTTTCATCATTATCGTGTTGAAGTGTTTTGTAAAGTTATTGATTGGCAATTTCAAGAACTTAACGATCGTTTTGACGAAGTGACGACTGATTCGCTTCATGGAGTTGCTTATTTGAATCCAATTGACTCATTTTCAAGTTTTGATATTAGAAAAATAATGAAAGTGACTGAATTGTATCCTTATGACTTTGATGAGTTTAGGATGAGTGCTCTTGAGAATCAGCTTGCAAGTTACATTTTGATGTTTGGGATTTTGATGAAAGGTTCTCCGATCTAAATGGGTTTTCAGATCTTTCAAAAAGATTAGTTAAGACAAAGAAGCATTCAGTTTATCCTCTTGTATTCCTCTTAGTGAAACTTTCGTTGCTTCTGTCTGTTGCCACTACAACCGTTGAAAGAGCTTTCTTAGCAATGAAGTTTATCAAGAATGACTTGCGGAGTCGAATGGATGATGATTTTTAGGCGGTTGCATAGTGCCTTATGTAGAAAGAGAAGTATTTAGTACTATTTCTGATGTGTCTATTATAAAAACATTTCAAGAGATGAAACCTTGTCGAGTACAATTGTAATAAGTAGAATCTCTTTTTGATGACTTCTTTATATTAGTTTGGATTTATCCAATTGTTCGTACTATTACACGAATAATTTAGCTCGATATCACGTTGTTTGACTTAAATTTTTCGGTGCACCTATTTGTTGGGGAATTTTTTTCCTTGTTCAAGTTTGAACACCCTTGAAAATTTTTCTAGCTTCGCCGTTGATACCCCCCCCCCCCCCCGGCACACACAAAAGAAATTAATGCTTCCTCTGTCTCACCTTAAGTCCTATCTTATTCAAAATTGAGTTTTTATATACACCCCTCAATGTAAATAAGTTTTTACAGATATATATAT